TAAAAATCGACGCGTTTCAGAAAGGCGGGGCATAGAGGAGAAACAATAATGTACAGTATGTGGAAAATAATGTGTTTTTTGAACCTTAAACCGCATAAACACATTTCATTACACCAAATACACAAAATAATGTTCTTTTTTAGCAACGTCATATGACCCCTTTAAGACCCACTGTAATGCACGGATCTAATATAATGTTGTTTTTCCCCAACAGTTCCCCAAACGTTCACTTAAGACATAACATATTTATTTTTTAATAAGTATCGGTTCAGGCACTGTTTAGGCACCGGAACTGTTTTAAAAGTATTGGTTTGGCACCGGTATCGAAAAAACCCAAACGATACCCAACCCTAATTAAGACCCTCTGTAATGTACGGATCTAATATAATGTTGTTTTTCCCCAACAGTTCTCCAAACGTTCACTTAAGACATAACAGATTATGTTTGCGTGAATACTTAAATACTGTAATTCTGTATATATGTATCGGGATCTCGCTGTCAGAAGTGCCTTTATGCGGAGCTTCGGATGACAGTCAGCGCGAGAAACGAGCGGAAAAGGTACTCCTCTCAGAAAACGTACAAATAATGATAATCTTAGATGTTTAATTACTATTTGGAGCATTGGGATCGCTAGATGAGGGCTTAATGAACTAATTTTTGTGAAAACCTCAAATTCAAAATTTTTCAGAAATGTAGCTCAAAATTAACCCATTAACTCATTTTGCCAGCACGGGTCACATATTGTTTTAAAGTCTTAAATGAATTGAATCAAACTTTTAAGTAGTAAAATACAAATTTAGATGCAGTCTAAATAAAATATAAACTGCAAGCGCTCTTTTAAAAATAAACTAAATTAGAAAACAAAATGAGAAAATATTCCTGCAAACCAAAGCACAAATAAAACCCTGGACTGTCATTATGTTTTGGAAATAATAAATAAACAGAAAAAAAGTTATCACTCAAATGAGAAAAAAGAAATGATTTTGCACCAATGCCAACTCCATTTGAAACTGGCCTCATAACTTCATGTTCATAGTTATGAATAAATTATCTAGTCAGGAACTGACTTGAGCTCTGGTCGGTCGTTTTAAAAGTATTGGTTTGGCACCGGTATCGAAAAAACCCAAACGATACCCAACCCTAATTAAGACCCTCTGTAATGTACGGATCTAATATAATGTTGTTTTTCCCCAACAGTTCTCCAAACGTTCACTTAAGACATAACAGATTATGTTTGCGTGAATACTTAATTCTGTGTATATATGTGTATTTATCGGGATCACGCTGTCGGAAGCGCCTTTATGCGTGCGCTTCGGATGACAGTCGGCGTGAGAAACGAGCGGAGAAAAGGTACTCCTCTCAGAAAATGTACAAATAATGATCATTTTAGATGTTTAATTACTATTTGGAGCATTGGGATCGCTAGATGAGGGCTTAATGAACTAATTTTTGTGAAAACCTCAAATTCAAAATTTTTCAGAAATGTAGCTCAAAATTAACCCATTAACTCATTTTGCCAGCACGGGTCACATATTGTTTTAAAGTCTTAAATGAATTGAATCAAACTTTTAAGTAGTAAAATACAAATTTAGATGCAGTCTAAATAAAATATAAACTGCAAGCGCTCTTTTAAAAATAAACTAAATTAGAAAACAAAATGAGAAAATATTCCTGCAAACCAAAGCACAAATAAAACCCTGAACTGTCATTATGTTTTGCAAATAATAAATAAAGACAAAAAAAGTTATCACTCAAATGAGAAAAAAGAAATGATTTTGCACCAATGCCAACTCCATTTGAAACTGGCCTCATAACTTCATGTTCATAGTTATGAATAAATTATCTAGTCAGGAACTGACTTGAGCTCTGGTCTTTAAGGACAAACTGACAAAATATAATAGAAAACTACAGAAATTATTCTAATATCCTATTATCCATGTGTTTTTAATCATCAACTGAGTGACAGAGCACAAAACATTAGCTGTTTTTGTCAGTACTTGGAAACTGTTCTGCTTAGTTGGTGCAACAACTGCAATTTATATAATCTATTAAACTAAACTTGTTTTATTATAATATTGCATAAGTAAATGTAATGGTCTCTGTCCTCAGAGCCAAATCTTTCACATGTACTTACATAGACAAGTGTTTAAAATAAACCATTTTAGTTAGTCATGCATGATTTGTTATTATGTTAAGCAGCTGGCATTTTGCGGTCATCAAAGATAACTGCAATTTATATCATGTATTAAACTAAATTGTTTTATTATAATATTGCATAAGGAAATGTAATCGTCTCTGTCCTCAGAGCCAAATCTTTCACATGTACTTACATAGACAAGTGTTTAAATTAAACCATTTTAGTTAGTCATGCATGATTTGTTATTATGTTAAGCAGCTGGCATTTTGCGGTCATCAAAGATAAGCAGCAATTTATGCAGAGCACTGGCTGTTAATCAGGCAAAGAGGTTTAATGTGACGAGTTCAGATCAAAGTCAACCAGGTGAACCACACAAGTTTTCAGACTTCACTGCATAATTGCTGACATGAGGAGTATGCATTTATGCATTCTCCAAAACTTAATGGTTCTCCATTGGACTCAATTATCTATAAATGGCTTCTTGCATATAATCATATTTTCCTCTCATCCACACTAGAGTCAAACCGTACATGCACACCAAAGGTTAGCAGCCATGCATCACTGGTGAGAGATATTAGGCCAGCACCACAAAGCAGGGTTAGTATGAGAGAAGGAAGGGAAAGGATCAGGTTTAAGGTTGCCACATGAAGTCATTACAGACGGAGAACAGCAAGGACACGGAACTCCTTGACCTTTAGGTTTTCCAGGTCTTTCTCGTATTTCAGACGCAGCAATGTTGCATCCCCATCACGATCTCGCCGGTTCATTTCTTCAGTGAGTTCGGACACCCGGGACACGAGTTTCTGGATCCGTACTTTGAGGGAAGTGGAGTCCGATCCAGGCTCGACGGCATCCGTCAGCTCTTCCATCTCTTCACTGAAGCGTGCTATTAAGTCCTTACACTCCATCTCATGCTGCTTCTTCAGGTTCTCCATGCACAGCGTCAGAGAGTCGATCTCTTTCACGTTCTCCTCGGATCTCAGTCTCAGAGTCTCACCAGTCTTGGCCACTTCCCGTCTCAGCTTCTCCGCTTCTTGCTCATACGCCTCCTTTAATTCGCGCAGCTCTTTCTTATGCCTAGCCATCGAGTCCTGAAGCTGTAAGGCCTCATCCGGAGAGTCGATCGGTTTTCCTTCGATCTGAATGTGGGTTAAGTCTCCACTGACGCTCGACTTAACCCGCTTCTCAGACTCGAGCTGTGCTCTCAAATCAGCACAATTTGCACATGCAGACAGGTCTAACGGTTTCGCCCTTGGCGAGTTCTGCAGAACTACAAAGCACATGCATGTTATGTCCATTATGGCCTCACGAATGTACTCAGACCAGCATCTTTGAGAGCCACAGCTTGACAGAGTCAAAGCCAACGACTGGAGCTCCTCATGAGTTCGTTCCCTAAGAGCCGAAGCGGTTTGATTCAATAATGTCACTTTCTTCTGAATGACTTCAGCGAGAGTCTTCAGGACGCAGGGATCGCTGGCATCACTGAGCAACCGATTCATAATATCCGATTTCATCATCTGTGCATTTCCATCTCCAGCGCAAGTTGCAGGTTTTGAGTCACCTTGAAGTTCTTGGAGGTTGGAGAGCTTATTCATAAGCAGCAGCATCTTATTATCCACTATCATACGTTCTACAGCTTTTCTTACTGCTTTGGCCTCGGAGCCTTTCTGACAGTCCTCTAAACCAGCTAAAACCTCATGCAGAATCCTTCTCTCAAACATCTCCTTCATCATTCCTGCCTGATCCTCATCCGAAATATTGGTGTCCATGCCAGTGTTGGACAAATCCATCTTACTGCCAGTTACCAACAAGTCAAGCAGATGATTCAGAGACTTAGACTTACTCTTGAACTCTTCCGCGACTTCCTCAACTACACTTTCATTCGTGAGTTTCTGCATCAACTCTTGGCACCCACTATCTGTTCCTGGTTCACTACCAAACGTCCCTTGAGTTCCTGCCTTCTCCTTCAACGTCCTGATTTCCTCCTGAGCCTCTACAAGCATCCGACTACACATCGTCGCGGTCTCTTCATGCTTTGCATTCTGGGACTGAAGTTCTCTACAGACCTGCTCAGCATTTTGAAGCTGCTTCTCCTTCTCGGAAAGCTTAGATTGAAGGACCTCCAATTGCCGTTTGAGTTCGTCCGTCTCCACATCTAACTCTTTATCATCATTTTGGCTTTCTGCCACCTGAAATCCAAGACCCCTAAGCGTAGCTTCTTTAAGTTGCAATCTTTTCTCCGTATCTTTCAAACTATTACCAAGAGTCTCCAATTTAATAAGAGCATCTTGTAGCTTCTGTGACTTTTCGTGGAGTTCTCGCTCGTACACATTTTCCTCTTCTTGCACCTGGTTCATGTTGGCTTGTGGATATTGCTGGCTGCTACACAGTCGACAAAGCTCAGCATTCAGCCTGTCTATTTCTCGATCCGCTTCTCTCAACTGGTTCACAATTTCCTGATAGCGCTGGTTCAAAGCTATGTTTTCGTTCGCCAGCAACTCCACCTGCTGAGACAGATTGGGATGGTCTTCTCTCAAGCAACCCAACGCACACGGACTCTCCATTCTCTGCCTATGGACTCTTCCCAGCATGCCCTCCATGGTGACCAAACGAGCTTCATAGTCTCGGATAGAGTCTCCAGCCTTTTCCAAGCTTCTCCTCATGGTCTCATTCTCAATCTCCTGTTGGTTCTTGAGGCTTTCCAACAGTTTCTGCGTCATTTCGCCTACTGACCCACTTCTTTCCTGTCCTTGAGGACTTTCTACCCAAAGGTATTCGCTATGCGAGTGCATGAGCTTTATCAGCTCTCTTAACGTCAGAGGCTCACTGGCATCAATCAAGCTCTCGAGCTCTCTAATCTTTCCCTCGCTATCCTGAAGCATAAAGCTGATGGTTTTCTGAATGGAGTTTGAGGGACAGACCTCTGGAGTGGAGGGTTTTTTGGTGTCAGAAAGGTAAGGTTCCTCTGCGGGGCAGTGTGAGAGAGAAAGGCCAAGCTGTGCCTGCATGTTGCGCTTTTTCAGTTCTTGCAGCTGCAGGAGCTCTTTGGTTTCCTGGTACTTCTTTGTTAAGCTCTGAGCTTGAGAACTAACCAGTTCAGTCCTCTTCACCTGGGGCTCTGTCTCAAGACTCAAAGGGGACTCCAGCTTGGAAAAGGGACCAGACAGTTGGTTAACAGTCAGCACAGATGAACATCGCTAATCAATTGCTAGATTATAGTTTGAGGAAAATTCACATTTCATTACCACATCTGAGTCTAATCAATCTATGAAGTTTAAAGGGAGAGTCAATTAATTCAGCTTCTTTCATGGAATGAGGCGCATTAGAACGCTAGAAAATAATTAATGGCAAAAAGGTTAGTAAATCAAAACAGTGCATGCATATTAAGAGGTTAAAGAGATGTTTCTTAGGGTAAGTGATGCAAAATTAGTGCTAGCTAAGAATGCCAGAACGGTCACATGCCATCCAGTTAAAAGCCTGCAGGCCTTTTGTGGAACAATTTAACCTGAACTACTAAGCAACCACTACTGTGTGTGTTTATAACAAACCTTTTGATTCAAAGGTGAGTAAATAAATCCATAAAAGACAACCCTTAAAACTAGCTGGTGGAGATAAAAATGTGTCCTGGACAGATATTCACATTTGTGGATCAATGCCATGCTTTAGATAAAAATCACCACACATTTGCTTTTAATACATAAACGCCTAAACTATGGTATACTGAAAAGGTATCCTAAAGAAAAACAATAACTGTAGCTATTTAATGCCAAAACAAGTCAATAAAAGAATTTTGAGAAGTCTACATTAAGCTCAGAAAACAATGCAATGATATTTTGAACAAACACTAAAGACAAACATACACACACACACGCTACATGGAAGAAGTCAAGAATAAGGTTAAAATGAAATGAACGTTGGTTAAATATGAAACGTATCATGCACATACACATCTTTTCATATGTCAATGTTTAGGTAGCACTATACAGCATTTGAAATAATTTTCCACACCCTTAAGATATACTGATACCCAATGCTTTTGAGAAAATACAAATAGGGGACATATCTGGCACTGAAAACTATTTTTCTAACCTTAAACTATAGCATAAATACTACTAATAAAAGCATTGGTAACACTTTACTTAAAACCTTTAGTAAAACTGTTTTTAATGCATTAGTTTTTCCTTGTAATGCACCTTATCATGCATTGTATGATCTCATGAATAACTGTAACCGCACTTATAATACATTATCTATTCACTGTTACACCTTTAGAAAGTGTAATGCATTAGAACACATGACAACCAAACCTTAAGATATTATAATGCATTTTAACTTTGGTTACAATTGTTTATAAACAGATATAATGCACATTATGAATACTTTTATAATGCATTACACATATAGGCTTTAAGTAAAGTGTAACCGTTTTTTTTTTTTTATAATATGCTGTAAATGTTTTCCATTAACTTCAAATATGCATTGAGTATGAGTGTATCCGAGGGCACAGTGAGTCTACGTTCTGAGTGTGTTTTCATGCCATCATTGCACATTTATTCATTCATGTTCAGTTAATGTTAATCATTTCTATGTTGGAACATGCAATACAGCTTGAATGAAATTGAAAATTTTAATGTCATTTTGCTTGAACATGGCAAGAAGAATCTTAAGTAGAGGCAAAAAGAGCTCTGTTTGTTTACATGCAACGGTCTCTAGACATGCAAAGCACGCGTTTGCAGCTTCGATGATAAAGATGGAAGCCATGTGTTTGTTTTTCTCCTAATAATGACACACAATGTGTTCAATCAGGCAATACATGAATGCACTATGAACATTGTGACATAAATGTGGCCTACCGGTGAAATATAACCGGCACGGATCTGCTGTTCGCGCTGGAGAGCGTTCTTGAGCTGACCCTCCAGCTCCAGCTTGTGCTGATTGGAGTCCATTAACTGCTGGTGACAGCTCTCCAGCTGAGCTTTCAGCTCCTCGACCTAACAACATCCAAAACACAAAGAGGAGTTATGATCTCAAGCCACATCAGATTTCATTTTTCAGCTCTCAACGGTATAAATGTGTGACTATTCAAGTCGGTGGAGATATTAAACGAATCACGACACCGTTGTGACACAGTGCTTGCCTCTAATTTTAAATGCAAGTTTGTTTATATGAAGAGATTTATATTATTTATTTATTTGATTTATTTGACATATTTCAAAGTTCAATAAACGAGAAGTTAATACTGTTACATTTTAGACACAATGCTGTTAAAGTTGTCCGTTGAAATTTCGCAAACGAAAATAGTTCCAATCAAAGCCACAGCAGAACTGTTGTTGTTTTCCAAGTGACACACAGCAGTGATTCATTACTGAATGAATCGAGTGAGCCAATGATTCACTGACTCATTAATAAATGAATCAGTTGTTTGAACAAAACGGTTGAGTGAATAATTCAATGACTCACTTGCTTTTAGAGCACCATTTCATTTAAAAAAAGAACATTTCAAATTTGTTTCTCATTTAACACAATAATGACTTTAAAGGATGTTTTGAGGGGGTGATTTCTAAGCCCAATTTGACGTGCGATTAACTCGACAGCCCTAGTTTAAAGGAATAACTGTGCACTGGATTTTGAAGCCCGCACCCCTTTCCTGTAGCTCTCGAGGAGGTTCTCCAGCTCTGATGCGTCTCTGTTGTGCTGTGTGGAGGGCAAAGGCACCCGCCTCTCCTCCCTGATGGGCGTCTTCTCCACCTGCTGCCAGCGCTGCTCGATCTCGTCCTCCACTCTCTGCTGCCGCTCCTCCGATGGGGGCGGAGCATCTACCTGGACCACGCCCCCACTCTCGAAGTCCATCTTTGTGATGTCAGCGGCAGGATCGAAGGAGGAGCCGGTGACGCTCTCGTACCTCCTCCGCCTCTCCTCCCTCCTCTTGTTTCTCTCGGTTAGCTCGGCCTGGAAGGTGTCGGCCTCGTGTGCTCTCTGCTGCGCCAGAGCCTGGGCGATGGGACGAAACTCGGCCCAGTCAAACGTTTTGGAGCGTCCTTCTCGCCTCCGTTCCCTCGCTCGGCTCTTCTTCAATCCACCTTCCCGCTCTACCGAGGTTTCGGAGGACAGGGAGTCCTGCGTGACGTCAGGCCGGGCGAGACTCTCAAACGGGCCGCAGGAAGCGTGTTCATCCGTCAGGCTTTCAAAACATTTTATACACAAGACTTAAATATTTTAAAGACAAAAACACATTTTTGTGCTACTGCATCATGCACGGTGACGCACCTAGCAACATCTGGCGCAGTGGACGGCCTGACGTTTTTCATAACCGCTTGGATCCAGTTGCGGCGTATTCCCGCGGTCATGGCAGAGAGCGTGTGCACTGCTTCTTGAGTCTGGTGTGAGCAAAGATTGAGCACAAACAGATCAGAAGAAGCTTCTGATTAATAAACACTTCAAACCCTTGGAAAACAATAGAAAGACACACATCTGTCCCTGCAGTGGACAACTACATCACAAGGCATCAGAACCATGTACAACTAAAAACACCTTTATAACATGACAATTACAATAAAATTTTGATTAAATAAAATATAAAATATAAATGAACTAAATTAAACAAAAATAAAAAAATCCATAAAATAAAAACTCCATGAAATAAAAACAATGAAATAAAATATAAAATAAAAGGTGCATAAGATAAACAAATCTATAAAATAAAATTAAGCTCATAAAATTAAATAAAAAATATCCATGAAACCAAATTAAATCTAAAATAAAAAAGTCCATAAAATAAAATATAAAATGAAAGCCCATAAAATAAAATAAAAAAATAAAAAATCCATAAGACAAAAAAAAATCTAAAAAATACAATGGCCCATAAATAAAATACAAATATCCATAAAACACAACAAAAATAAAAAGTCCATAAAATAAAATAAAATAATACATAGAAAAACATCCATAAAATTAAAAAATTAAATAAACTAAAAAAGGCAATAAAATAATAAAAATAGCATTACATAAAATACAAGAAGATATAAAATAAATAAGCTTTGGACACACATGAATCTGGAAGCCATAGTTCCGTTGAGCTTGATATTCTGTAACATTGTAGCAGGTACTGAGGTCAATCTCTCCATCCAGATCAGACGCCTGTTCACAAAAAAACGTTGATGCAGTGAGAGAAATATTATGAATTACAGCAATCAGGCTGATTGACAAATCAGGGGGTATAAATGGCTATTACAGGGACTGTGATGTACCTCTTCAGCAATCGAATCCTTGTAATATCGTAGACTGTGATCTGTCAGCACAAACCAATACTTCTTCCACTAAAACAGAAATAATAAAATTAGATTATCAGAATAGATCAAATATAATCCCGATAAAAAATGGAATGTATCAGATCATTACAGAGAGCTCTTGGTCGCAGAGAATCCTGCATGCGTCTGGTGTATGGGTAGGTTGTTTTTAAGACATTTATACTTCTTTAAAGACTGTGCTGATAAAGTTGACAGGCTCTGCGCTTTTAACTTTGACCTATTGAAGCTGTGCGATCAAAGTGCTCTGCCCTTCAGAAGCATCAGTGCTTTGAGTCCAGACCATTTGAGCTGAACAACTCGGATCAACGTGAAGTCAGAAAGCAGATTCCCTTCTTCAGTAAATAGAGATGTGATGCATTTAACACCAAGAACTTGCGCTGAACATCAAATATAGAGGCCAATGACAATTCCACTGCTAAACTGATTTTTTATTTATTTTTTCATATTTAGGCACGTTAAGCCAGAACTTAATTTATAAGACTTGATATACAATAAATGATTTACAATATATTACACTATACCAGCAATGCACCAACATTAATATCCAGCCGAAAAATGAATTTTTGATTTTGAACGAAGATGTAAATCACTGACCAAAAATTTTACATTGAAAAAGCCATTAGCTTGATAGTTAGAAAAAATGTTTTTAATAAAAATTAATAATAATTTAATCATAATTATTTAGAATCAATCAATTAATAAATTAATACATTAAAAAAACAATAATAATATATATATATATATATATATATGCACAATATTATGTTTTCATTTTATTTTTTACTTATCCTGTTGTCTTCATTATTAACGTATGTTTGAATAAATCTGTCATTAACAAGTTATTACAGCCACCATTTAAATGTCTATATTGCAACAATTATTATGCATCATTAAAAATGTATAAAAACGGCCTTATGTGCAGCTTAAATGTTTGTATGTTAAATACGTTTGAATAAATAAAATGTATTTGCAGCATCACCACACAATACTACTACTAATAATACTAAACAAACAAAGGGTAATAAACAGAAAAAACATCTACATATAATAATAAAAATAATACTGAACAATTTTAATATTAAAAACGTCCTAAAACATATTTTTAGGAATTATAATTATCAAAAAAGCATTAAAATCTGCATCTTTTGTGATGCTTGCACGCAATTTATATTTTTATACCATAATTATCTAGTAGAATTATATTTTTTAGTACAATAACTGTGAAAACATGGTGAATATTCAACATATTGCCCAGCACTTAGATTCAGTATTTTATTTCCAAACACTACTGCGATCTAATCAGTGAGAGATTATTTTTGTTGATTGTTTTGAGAGAAGCACAGCCTTACCTGGCCTTGTTCATCCAGTTTCACCATCCAGCCCTTCTTGAAGTTCAGCAGGTCTGGCTGTAATCCAAGAGGGAAACAGTGGAGAATATAAACAGGATAAACACACACACTCCCACACACTCACACACACACACACTCACACTCATCAAATGCACAGAGAGAAGTGAGGAAGCACACAGAGCACAGAGAAACGAGAGGGCGACTGCCATTAGTCTGGGTAGAGAAACCAGCAGAGTCTTAAGCTTTAAGGCTCAAAGACATAAGAGTGTCAACCATAAAGAAAATAATACAGTTTAAAATGTGTTCATCAGTGTTATTTTAGCATCACTGAAATAGTAGTCTAGCTTTATTAATATTTTGAAGTCATTTTTAATGTTATATTTTCCATGTTGCGAGTTAATCTTAGTTAAAATTGTAATAATTTACATACTTATAGCTTTACATTTTTCGAATTAGATTTTATTTTTATATTTTCCATTTTTATTTTAATTAAAGTTTAATAGTTTTAGTCATTTTTGTTATGTGTTTTTGTCGATTTTATTAGTTTTTGTTTTTTAAAAACTGTTCATTATTTTTTTAAAATGGTTTTACTTTTAGTTATAAAGGCAGTTTAGATTAAGTTCCTGAAATATATATATATTTTTATTTTTTATAAATATAAAATCATAAATATCTGGGATATTTTTGAGAGTTGCACCAAATTACATTTTACAACCTCAACTCAAATTACGTGATATTTTTCAGAGACTTACTGACCTTGACAGTCATGAGGATTGGTCACACCACATGGCTTTTGAAAAGCTTTTCATTTTTGTTATTTTTTCCCCCTAAGAAATAATAAAATATTGTCCTTTTTTAATTTATAGGTAGATTAATAGGAAATGGCATCACTGTAGCCTGAACAACACATTAAAAAGGCAGCGATGAGTGAGTTTTGGACAGCAGAGATCTCCATCAGATGCTGACGTCTCTGTGAATCAAGATGTTCTTTACATCCTGCTGACTTAAATATTCCATCCATCTTTTCCTTCAAATCGTGCCAAATGCTGCTGCTCTCTTTGACCTTTGAACCTCAGAGAACAACAGAGCCATCGTGGAGGATCTGAAAGCGGTTCACCTCACACACACACACTCACACACACACACACACACACACACACAGATAGCTGAATGATGCGAGAGAAAGCAGAGAGACGGATAGTCTTACGGTCATGACGGATTCGGTGGTCCTGCGGTCCAGTGATTTGGCTCGTCTCAGAGGCGGCAGGGTGCAGGGATGGAAGTCTAAACCCTGCGCCGGGTCCGTCTTCTGATCCTGAACACAGACACAGCAGCAGATTTACTCTTTGAGATGTTTTAGTGCACAGGATAACGGTAAGGTAACATCATTATTACCTACTGGATAAGTTCTAGAAAACTAGAGAAGCACTCATATTAAGTCTGTCGATACCTAAAAGTACCTAAAAATAATTATTATTTTAATGCTGTCTGAAAACCAATAAATGGCCAGTATTCAAATGTTATACACTACTGTTCAAAAGTTTAGGGTTCGTACGATTTAAAAAACAAAATGTTTTTGATTAAAGTCTCTTCTGCTCATCAAGGCTGCATTTATTTGATCAAAAATACAGTAAAAATTGTGAAATATTATTATAATGTAAAACATTATAGTTTTCACATAGTTTTCTATGTGAATATGTGTTAAACTGTAATGTACTTCTGTGATGCGCAGCTGTATTTTCAGCATCATTACTCCAGTCTTCAGTGTCACATGATCTTCAGAAATCATTCTAATATGCTGATTATTAG